CTGTTAGGATAAAAGGGAAGAGGGAGGAATTATACAGATTGATTTGGGGAGAAAAACAAGGTATAATTGCAGTAAATAATGCAACAAGACACACAAACGACAGTGTCCTGTCCTTGTGTATAACCACCTCATATTTAAATAAAGCAGACATAACGGGACAGGGTCTGCAACACAGATCCTAATGGTCAGGTAGACACTTCTTTACATATCTTTGTACACAGATCATTTGGAGTCTTAAAAGTAAGAATCAGATGTTTAAATTGGGCCTAGAAACAAATTCATAGCCAATAGAGTTGTTTTGGCACTGGTAAGATGTGTTTAATGCCTATTGGCAGTTTTGCTGATGCAAAGGCAGCTCCACATAGGCAGCTCCACATAGAGCACTTTGTAGTATTCTGGATATAGCTGAAGCACAGATAGTGGGAGAATCCCCATTCTTAAAGAAAGGCAACAGCTAGTGCAACAACCGGGTAGATAAAAGGTGTTACATGCTTCAGATGAGACTTTAATAACCTTCTAGTAGTGGACATGAAACTAACAGTAACCCCCCTCCCCCACTGCTTTTGGACAAATTCCAACCCTGTTCAAAAGGAGATGAATCCTGAAATCTTGACTGGCTTTAAATCAGTTGTTGTGTGCCTGTATAATCTACTACCACATCCCAAATATAAACATTATCCTCCTGTTAATTTATTTAAATGTTTTTGTGCCGCCTTTCCCATTGACCATGACAGCCCAAGGCAGTTTATGAAAAACAAACCTGACCCCCAACTAACAGAAAATTTAAAAAGAAAAACAAATAAGCAAGACACAGGTACATTGTATGACTTTGCCTCAAAATAATCTTCTCCTTATGAAATAAGCTCTAAAATGCATTCCAGGTCATTCCAGAACACTGGAGACACCACCAAAAAAGAGCAGGCCATGCTGTGCTGGATGAATGGCTCAAAGAGAAGGCTCGACTAGGAGGTGGTCATTGAAGGATCTGAGGGGAGAACAAGCTCATAAGAAGTTAAAAAAGTAGGATAGCACTCTAGACAAGGCAACTATATAGGTATAAGCAGCGGAGCTGCAGGACTCATGCGGGGAGGGGATCCCATCCTCCACCCGTTTGATCACTGGGCTGCTAGGATTGCCAATTTGGTTAGGAAATTCCTGGAGCTTTGGGGTGGAGCTTTGGGAGCACAGCGTATAATGCCATAGAGTCTACTCTCCAAAATAGTCATTTTTTCTAGGGGCACTAATAAATTCTTATTCCAGGAAATCTCCAGATCCCACCAGGAGGGGAGGCCTTCCTAATCATCACAAACCAGGTTGCCACCCTGCATGGCCTCTGCTTCCCCCTGTCTTATTTATGTGGGGGCAACTCCTGCACCCACCCACCTGCAGCACCACTGTCTCTGCTAGGGTTGCCAGCCCCCAGTTCTGGGTGGGGTTTCTTCCACTTTTGGGGGCTCCAATCCACAGCCAGCTGGCTGATGGGGGAAGCCCTGCCCCCAAGTGCAACCACCTGCCCAGCCACCCCTCTTCCTCCCCTCCTGCCAGATTTAAAGGGCTTCAGCTGGTCAGCGGGGACCACAGGGCCCGCCGATCAGCTGGAGGGCCCTTTAAATCTAGCAGGGGGGAGGGAGAGGGGTGGTTGCAGGCCACACACTCAGCTTGCAAAGAGACCCTTTAAATAGTTTTTTGGGGAGTGGGGTGGGGGGCCCCCACCCTGCCCACTGCAGCCCCCATCCTGCTTGCAAAAAGACCCTTTAAAGAGTCTTTTTGCGAGCTGAGCATGTGGCTCATGACCACCCTCCTTCCTGCTGTATTTAAAGGGCCTTCAGTTGATCGGCTGTGCTGCTTGGGGGGATTTAAATTCATTTTCCATTTTTTAAACTATCCACATTTTTCTTCAAACCTGAGAGGGGGAGTCGTCTCCTAGCTCTGTAGATCTCCTTTCTCTGTACTTGGCCTCAATTTAAACACATAAATCTACCTTTTACTAAATCAGACCCTTGGTCCATTGAGGACAGTATTGCCTTCTCAGACTGGAAACAACTTTTCCAGGGTCTCAGGCAGAGTTCTTTCACATCACCTACTAACCTGATCTTTTCCACTGGGGATACCGGGGATTCAACCTGGGACTTTCTGAATGCCAAGCAGATGCCCTACTACTGAGCCATAGCCCCTTCCCAGGATATAAGTATCTACAGCTGGAGTCATGGTGAGAATTAGATATAACAAGCAGAGAACCTGTAAAGACTTTATTTCCCCCTATCTCCTCTTCCCACATGATTGCCACTTTCTGTCCTCCTGGCAGCCTCCATATCCTTTCCCCTTTCCCAGCTTCCTTCTCTCTTTCTCACTTACCAACCAGCCTTTCTTTTATCTGCTCCCTCCATTCTTCAGCTTTATTATTTATTTACTTAATTTATACCCCACCTTTCTTCCTGGTGGGGACCCAAAACTCCTTATGTCAATCTCCTGTCCTATATTTTATCCTCACACAACCCTGAGAAGTCAATTAGGCTGAGGGAGAGTGGCCAAGGTCCTCCAGCAAGCGCCAATGGCATCGTGGGGATTAGAATTTGGGTCTCCCAGATCCTAGTATGACACTCTAACCGCTACACCACACTGGCTCTCAGCTTTCCCTTCTTCCCTCTCTGTGTCTGGCCAAACTACAGAAGTGCTGCAGTAGCAAGTTGCTCCGTTGAGTTGTATGAGGGCCACTGCTGGGCCTTGCCAAGTCACACTAGTTTTGTGAAGGTTGCCGCTGGGCCCAGGAGAGTTGTGTAGCATCAAGTCATAACCACTGCCACACCTGGATGAGTTGTGTAGATTTCATGATAGCAAGTCGGCTGGTTGTTGCTGCCAAGCCTGGCCCTGAGGAGTCTTCCCTCCAGGGCAGGAGGAAGAGGAGCAGTGCTGGACTGGGAGGTCAAAATAGCCCTGGAAAGGGCCCCACTCCCTCCCCCTGTATAATACTGAAAAAAACCCAAGGTTGAAGGTTGGCAAATATTGTTGTGGTTGCACAGCAACCCCCACAGTGGCCACTGAGATCTCAGAGGACATTTCTTTCTTCGAAGTACAGGCACTTCTCTTATTTTGGTTTTTTATTTTTTGGGGGGGTAATGATTTCAACTGTTTCTATGAACGTGGGGCTTTTCTCAGGTTTGTAGAAAGATCTATCTTGTCTGTTCATGGGTCTAGCCTCTGGATTTTTAAGTATCCGCAGATCAGGCCATGTTGAGAATTAGATATATTGATGATACTTATTCTATATGAACACAATACACGGTTTTTAGGCATACAGACAACCAGCTCCTTAACTGATATTATTCCTGCTTCCTGTATGCTAATTTTTTAAGGACTTGGAGGAGGAATCTAGAATATGGGGTGAACAGTATAAAATTACTTTCCTTCACTTGCTGTCAGAAGCTATTGCAGGTGGGAAAGAAGGGCTGCCTAAAATCCCAGATGCCTTCATTTGACCCCTGGAATTCTGAAAGCCTCCTGAGATTTGTAGGTTGTCCCCCATTAAAAGAAACACTGGTCTGTTTCATCCACTGCTACCACCTGCTCAAGAACCTAGCTCAAGAAAAGTTTACTTATGTAGTTAACTTAAGCCGTTCAGATAGGGAAGGTTTCTTCAGGAGGGATTTCACTGCTTCCTGCTTCAAGGCAACAGGGACTTTATTCTCTTGCAGTGAGGCACTTACCCATTCCCTGTACCAAGCAATCCTGTTTTGAACAGATCTAAGGAGCCACAATGGGCAGGAGTTGGGTACAGAGGTGATGGACCACATCTCTCCCATCCTTAGGCTATAATAACTTAATGATCCAATCACATGTGATTTGACTGATGACAGCCTCCTGAGACTGAAATTTCAAGAATAGTGGCATCCAAGTCATTAGTTTCCTATATTAGCCAAATATTAATAATGTGGTGCTTGTTGATTCTCAAAAAGGGAGTGGAATTATTGGAAAAAATCATCATGTAAAGCCTGTACTGCAGTATTGTTCTTCTTTTTACCCCATGAATCCTAAATGTAAGCATGGGATTCACAGTTTTGCTCAGAATTTTATACCTTGTTTTTAATAATGTTATGTTTCAAATTAGGTTAATGTATGCTGGGAATGTTTTTTAAGGAGGTGAACAGCGGTGCTGCAACAGTAATATTTTGGGAGGTTATTTCTCCTTTTGCTGTAGCAATTATTGGGGCTTTTCAGTGTGTTCCTTTTATATATACTTTAAGGAATCATCGTACCCAGGCCTAACAAATAACTTATGTTGTATAAATGCTTTGTTTTGGAATGCTAATACAAACCATAAAGTAGTATTTCATCTGCCCTTTTACATGTTACTTTTTAGCCGTGTCCTCAAATATTTCATAACTGAAAATAGCACAAAATGTTGTGTGCAGTGATCCGTGACTTGAAATTTGGAAGAGCTTTTTATTCACTGGATTGGAATAAATTAAAGATGGTGAATTGTAGCTTAGGAAATAGAATTGCATACATGGTAAATTCCGTTTAGTATCTGCTAGTCACTTTCAGCTTCAAAACCTAGCAGGTAGTGCTAATTGTAAGTAGTTGATAAACACAGAAAAATTATGCTGTGTTTTTTTTTAAATGCCCAAATGTAATATAATAGGTTAACAATCTGTCCCTGAATCCTGTCTTGAATTTATTTGTACCTATTTCTGTTTGCATTAGTCATTCTCTCTAAGTAAATTGTCCATAAGACCAATGATTCCATCAGCAAATTATCCAGAAAATGCTGTCAGTGCACATTGTGACGTTTCTGCCACTGGGTATATTTGCTGCTGTTCCAGTGGTCTAATTAACCTGGCAGTAATCTCTTGTGGCCAATGCTGTTTGCTTTGTTTATTTTCCTTGGCACCATAGTTCAGACCTTTGCATCTTCCATACACCTTAAAATAGATCGCAAATTTACTATTGATTTTCCCCCTTCCCTTTTTTTCCCTTTCCCCCTTCCTTTCTTTGATTGGCAGTATCATCCAGACAAACAGAGCGCAGATGTGCCAGCAGGAGAAGTGGAGGCGCGCATGCAGAGGTTCATCGAAATTGATCGAGCGTGGAAAATTCTAGGGAACGAAGAGACAAAAAAAGAGTATGACCTGCAGCGGCGTGGTAGGTTCCTGCCGAGGAGTGCTGCAGTAGTAGCAGCAGCAGCTCTTGAGAGCAGAGGTTAGAGTGGTAGCTTGGTGGTGTGTTTTTTTCCCCAAACGCTTTTTGTTCGACTGAAACACTTCATTTGCTCTTATCTCGCTTCCATATTTAGATACATTATTTATACTGATTACTACACATCCATTAAGCAGTAAAAACATTAAATTACTTTTGACAAAGCGTTAGTTGGTAGCTGTTCTACTAATTCTAATGAATGTGGAATTTAGATAATAATGACTTAGTTTAGCCATTCTTCATTTGACAGTATTTAAAGTAGTTTCATTAAATGTTCTTAATTACTTGAGTTATGCCCTTTGCTACATTCCATTGCTGCATTTTAGATATAGGTTTTGAGCAATTTATGTCAAAGGTATACCGAAGCATATGGTTTTGTAAACACTTCAGAATCATTAAAGCATATCCTCTCCATCACCTTTTAAAAATGAAGAATTGGTTGAGAATATTTTTTCATAACATATTTCTCATTTAAAGCTACCATTTAAGAAGCAGCTTAGAAATAATATTTCAGTAAAGCACATTAACCAGGCATTTCCAGCATGCATTTCTTTTTTATATATCTTGGAAAATAGCATCTTAAAACAGTGACAGGCTGTAGTGAGAAAGAAAGGGGGAAATGTAGGTCAGGTCTGTCACACATGGGCTACCATTACATGAAGTGATAGGCTGTCTTTCTGCTCTGGCCTCAGGATAGGAGTCCCTCAGCCTTCCATTAGAACCTTCAATAAATGTATATCCACCCTCCATGTTAATGGGGGGGGGGAGTCAATAATAGTGTACTGCCTGTGGGGAAAACACTCAGTCGCACTCTGCAGTAACACACTCTGGTCCAGCATTGACGTGTAGCCACCACCACTTTTCAGTATGTTTGATAAAAGCTCACCGCCTCTGCAGCTTGTTATTGAATTTCCTTCCATTGTACATTGGCACACCATCAAACCTTTTGCTCTTGCTGTTCTAACTTCCCTGCTGCTAAGGTTGCCACAATTTTATTTTAGAAACAAAAGCTTAGTCAGCGTGGCTGGCAGATACACATAATCCACTGAATAATATACTGAATAAGTGATCTTATTTTGACCATGAATTATTTAGTATCTATGTCACATTTTCTCAAAATGTGCTGTTTAGGATGTCCGATATTAATTTTTTTAAAAAATTCAGTAAGCCAGATTATTTTTGAAAAGGTTTTAGAATGATTATTGTGGTCGATGGATGTTGCTTTGTTTGTACTTCATCCATTTTTCTTTTCTTTTGAGATAAGATAGCTAATCCTATCAGTTTACCTCTGCACCCTTACATGTAATGCAGAAAGCAATAATTGATGCACTTAGTTTTATTTGTTAGTCGAATTTTTCTGCGTTTGCTTTTAACATGTTTAGAGGTGACCCACTAGTGTTAGCTCTGTGTTTTGGCTGAAATCTGCTAGGCACTGATTTCATGCAACCTTGGCCCTTTGAGGCTTGAAGGTCTTGAAAAAAGAGGCCTCAGATGCATATGATTCACAGAATTGGTTTTATCTAATCCAGAACTGTTAAATGTGTGTTGGCACTTCCTGAAGCTCTGTTATTGAGCAACACTGTTTTAAAAGAAGATTTATTTAAAAACCTGGGCATTTATTTCAAAAGCACACTTTATAGTCTGGTCTTTATATAGTAAAATATATATTTCTCTCTTTTGTAAAGTTTTTACAGCCTATAATAAAACAAGATTGGAATTAATGACCTAAACGATAATGAGCACGGTGTCTGATCTTCCAATCTTACCTTCTGATATTAACTTGACCAGAATCCGAATGTTAGAATAATCTGCGCAGAGCCCTCCCCAGATATTGCTGAATTGTATTGGTTGCTGATAACATAGGTTGCCAGGAATGGTGCCAAGAGAAATAGGTTGTGAGCAAGTGAAGAGAAGAATAACAAATCTGCCTAAAAGTTCAGTGGTGGGAAAATATTTCCAAATTAGCTGATTGTACACGACAGGGGAGAATGGGAAAAGCATCTTTTTAGAAGACAATTTTTGTATTATAGAATCACCCTTAACTCTAGAAACACTAAAAAGATAGAAGTGTAAAAGTACGTATCTTAAATTTTTAGCAGTATAAATGCTGGAAATCAATAGCAACCCCCCACCCCACCTCATGAAACAAGACATATATTTTGGTGGCTTCTTTTAAGACAGAGTTGTTAAGGTAGCTGTGAAATTTTATGCATCTGTGATAGATTTTTGTAGCCATTCAAATGGGGTCTAGCTTTTTATATATTTTAGTCATCTGCTTTGAACTAATAAGTTAAGAAGCAGTATGAAAGAGAAATAGAGACTTCCAGTATACAATGGAAATGATGGCATCACATTGCTGGCAATGCAGGGATGTTCTAGTATTTGGGCAAAAACACTGTGGTAAAAATGACTTTTACCATAGAGGTTTTGCCCAAATACCAGAGCATCCCTACATCACCTGCAACATCACTTCTGATGCATGTCAGAAGTGATGTTGCCAGTAACAAAGGGCTAAGCCTAGTTTTCCTGCCAGTAAGTCCCACCTGCTCCCACCAGTTGCCAGGGGATACCTGGCAACTCTAATTTTCCATGGGATCATTGTGCCTAGCAAGTGAAATTTTTTTACTCTTTTAAAGTTTGTTTCCTTAATGTAACTAGTGGGCTGCTCATTTGTTGTCCCTTTGGGACTGTTTATTCCAGGGCAGGCTGACAGACTGTTCTGGGGGTTCCATGCTTCCTAGATGCTTACAGGTCCAATTTGGCCTGGGATCGTGGTACGCAAGGAGAGGAGATTTAAAGTTTCCTTTTTTTGGGGGGGGGACTGTGGGGACAAAATTCCCTGGGCCCAAGTCAGCTGAAGAGCCCCCTGAAGCCAGCATCATGCTCCAAACATAGAATGCATTTATGTCTTTTTAAAAAATTCTAATGCAGTTTTGGATTGCAGCCACTGGGGTGCAGAGAAGGCAGTAGGGTTGCCAAGTCTTACCTGCTGTTGAAGTGGGGGGCTCCCGGCTTGTTCCTGGAGTGCGCGCGCCGCAACCCCGTCACCCGGAAGTGACACGACCATGCCGGGCACACTGGGGGCAGGGCCACAACCATCCGAGGAAAAACCATAGAGTTTTCCCTCGGATGACCGTGGCCCCGCCCCCAGAATGCCCGGCGTGGTCGCGTCACTTCTGGGTGACGTGAACGTCGCGTACTTTGGGGGTGGGGTTCCCCCTGGGGCCCGATCCGCCACCGGCAGGGAATAGGCCTCTGGGGCGGGGGGTTGACCGCCCCCCGGGGGGACTTGGCAAACCTAGAAGGCAGAGAACAGTAAACAGGAGTTATTCTGACTCTGCTGGAGGGGACTTTCTGCAGTGTTTACTAGGAGGATGAGGATCTGCTAGAAGCATCAGCCAAGCCAGCAGTGGAGCAAGGCAAGACCAGCCAGGGCAAGCAACAGTCATTGCCAGGATGCAGCCTTCTAATAGAGTCATTATCTCCAGCAGTCTGTGGTTTCCATCTTTACTTCCACCCAGCTCCATAATTTTGTTTGCATATCGAGATGGTACAAAGGAACAGCCCCATTAGTGTGTGGTAGCAGTTTTTTTTTAATGCAGCCTTTCAGTGTTTTTTCCTTAATTTCTGTCTTTTCCACACTTTTTCCTGCCTTCTCCTTTTTCTCCCCCACCACCTTATTTTTCAGTCTTGGTCTCAGCTCTGTGTCCATCCTGGTTGGCAATCTAGAACATATTTAATAGTATATAGCACCAGACCTTAGTTTATGCTATGAACAGAAGGGGGGGAGTTAATATTTTCCCATAATAAAAGTAGGGAAATATGCTTCCTCTTCCTCTTCAACCCTTTACATGCATGATAATAGAATGTTAATCTGCCTGAATAGTGGTAATAAATGAGGAACAGAAGTTACAACTCAACTTAGTTTCCATTACAAATAGCATAGGGAAGGTTCTGAAGATAACTTGGGCCAGGATATTCCAATTCCTTTCATTTCTGGTCTTGGAATTCCCACAATTATTGTGAAGCTGATAGCCAGTTTTGGAGATTCCTAGTTTTATTTTCTGATGGACAGATGGATGCAAATGTAGATTATTTTATTATTATGGGTTCATAGTAACAGCTAGAGAAGCGATTTGTTTTGCTATGATATTTGTTTTGGATCAGGGTCATATTGGGGGGGGATCAGATGGAATCCTTGTCCGGGGCCCATGGTTCTTCGCAGCCCTGCCTCCCTGTGCCATTTTCCCAACTTGAAGTGGTCTTAGGTAAGCTGCTTTTTCTCCTGTTGGGGCTTCATGTTAAGTCACTGCAACACAGCATACGGAGGCTCCCTGGAAATATTTCAAGTTGAGAAAAAAGCACAGGGAGGCAGGCTGAAATCTCTTCCTCTTGCACCTAGTCCAAATCAGGCCTGTACATGACTTGGAAGCATGAACAATAACACCTTTATTGAAAACACCAACACTGGATGTTCAACTGTTGGCTAAATATAGGACAATCTCTATTCTTGGTCCTGAGGTATGACCTCGTTTGCAAGACAGTCAGCATGGTTCTTCCTTATTAATGAAACTTTTCTCACAACTTCAGTGTGAAATAAAAAGCCCAGTGTCCAGACAAATTTACAGTTCCTATGATGCATATGCTGGATTTGAAACAGTAAGATAATTAGGGTTTAGAACAGAGGTGTCAAACTTATTTGTTATGAGGGCCATGTGTGACATAAATGTCACTGGCCAGGCCATGTGTGCCATAAAATATAACACAAGGTACCAGAGATATAAACCTTATAAAGATGATTTCAGATGCTGAATGGCAATAGCAGGCATGTTTGGATTAGGTGTGATATGCAGATGGATGGAGATATCAGCATTGGTGTGATATACAGAGGCGTGGAGATATCAGCATTAGTAATGAGACAGAAAACCTAAGTCTCAGTTTGATAC